GTCGCAACAGGTCGTTGTCCATCTGCAGCCGCTCGGCCTCTTTGAAGGTCTCCTGCAGGCGCTGGTTGCTCTGGCGCAGCTCCCGCACGTAATCGCAGGCCTTGGACAGGATCCCGCCTTTGCTCTGCGCGACCCCTCCCCAAAATTAACCCGGGACCCCCCAAAATCCACCCGGGAGACCCCAAAAACCGCCCTCAAACACCCCCGGCGCGACCCCTCCCCAAAATTAACCCGGGACCCCCCAAAACCCTCCCGGGAGACCCCAAAAATCCCCCAAAAACCCCAAAAAGGTCCCGAAAAAATTCCAAAAAAAACCCCAAAAATAAAAAAAAAATCCCAAGAAAATCCCCAAAAAATCCCCAAAAAAACCCTAAAAAATCCAAACAAAATCACAAAAAAATCCCAAGAAAATCCCAAAAAATCCCCCCAAAATCCCCAAAATATCCCAAAAAAATCCCCAAAAAATCCCAAAAAAACCCTCAAAAAATCCCCCCAAAAATCCAAAAAAAACCCCCAAAAATCCCAAAAACTCCAAAAAAATCCCAAAAATATCCCAAAAAATCCCCCAAAATCCCCCAAAAAACCCCGAAAAACTCAAAAAAAATCCCAAAAAAACCTCAAAAAATCCCCAAAAATTCCCCAAAAAATCCCCAAAAAATCCCAAAAATTCCCAAAAAAATCCCCCAAAATTCCCCAAAAAATCCTCAAAAAACTCCCCAAAGAATCCCAAAAAAATCCCAAAAAGTCCCCCAAAAAACTCCAAAAAACCCCCAAAAAATCCCAAAAAATATCCCCAAAAAATGCCAGAAAACCTCCAAATTATCCCCAAAAACCCCCCAAAAAAACCCTCAAAAAATCTCCCAAAAAACCCTAAAAAACTCCAAAAAAATCCCAAAAAAATCCCAAAAAATCCCCAAAAAATCCCAAAAAATTCCCCAAAATTCCCCCAAATTCCCCCAAATTCCCCTTTCCCCCCCGCGTTCCCGGCGTCCCGGGGCCGCTCTCACCGCGCCGGATTTGCCGCTGTCGGCGCCGCAGTCGGGGATGATTTTGGAGAGCTGCACGATCCAGTTGTTGATCTTGTCCCGGCGCCGCCGCTCCACTGCCGGGACACCAGAGGGGGCAGGGAGGTTGGGGGAATTTGGGGAATTTTTGGGGATTTTTTGGGATTTTTTTGAAATTTTTTGGGATTTTTTTTTATTTTTTTTGGAATTTTTTTGGAATTTTTCGGGGATTTTTTTTGAATTTTAAGTGATTTTTTGGTGGTTTTTGAGGGGATTTTTTGGGAATTATAAGGGATTTTTTTGGGGATGTTTTGGGAATTTTTGGGGGGGGTTGGGATTTTTTGGGGGAATTTTTTGGGGATTTTTGGGATTTTTTGGGGATTTTTTGGAATTTTTTTGGAATTTTTTGGGGATTTTTTTTGAATTTTAAATGATTTTTTTGTGATTTTTAAGGGGATTTTTTTGGAATTTTGGGGGATTTTTTGAGGGATGTTTTGGGAATTTTTGGGGGGGAGTTGGG